TCTGGCGGCAACAGAGATAAAGAAAGAATACACACAAAGACGCAACAAGAGAGACCAGAAGACACCCCGAGACCAGAGTGGATGCGACACTGGCGTCAGACAGATCCTGCATTGTAAACATCATGGCTATGCAAGCAGTTTGCACACCTTACCAACTGCAATGCCTACCCGTAATGCATGCCCTGCAAGCCGTAACGCATGCGGGCTTCAGTCTGTGCCTTTTTATTTCAGGGAAGAGCTTTACACAAAGGAAGGCGGGGATTATTACGACAGGGTACAGAAGTGAAACGTGATTAATCGTTCAAAACAGGACACAATGATTTACAGGAACAAATTCTAAAACATACATCACAAATTGTCTTGATAATCTAACATCCTTAATTTTCTAGAAATTCAAGCAAATTGTTACATAGTACTTTTTAGGTTCGAATGCCAAGGCAGCAACTCGAGGTTTCTCAAGCCTAATTAACATACCTATAGCACCTAATCTTCAGTAAGAAAAGGATTCAAAAGGTCTGAAAGGAGTCCAGCTGTTTCAGCTACCTGGCCGAGGCTTGCAGGAGGAAGGAGGACGCCTAGGTTAATAGTTTGCATCTGGGGATGATTTGAGAAGGCTGACAACTATAATTCTTTGAACAAAACCCAGCGTCTCCCAGCAAACTTACCTTAGGAACTTTTAGGCCTCGGCTTGAGAAGAGGTTTTTGTTTTAATATTTGTCCATGGGTATCAAGGGCTCATGTATTAAGTTAATATCAAACATAACTGAATAATCTGATATAGAACACTTATGCCATGCTTGCCAGGTGGCCAGAGTTTTTTCCTCAGAGAGATTTGTTCCCAGAAACTTATGCACTGCCAACACAGTGGAGACATTAAGAGAGGCACATAAGAAACCATTTTCTCAGAAGCTACAATTACTGGAGTTTGAATCATAGAATGAGTGATAGGACTAAAGAAAATTATACAGAGCTAGCCCAACAGTGAGTTCGTAAAAGCCAATGAACCCGGGACGTCCGGAGGTTACTTCCTTGGGCCCTCAGGGTCCCTGGCTAGCCATCCTGAGTGGAGCCATCGTGTAGGATTTCCATCCATGACACAGGGCCTCAATATCTCAGTGATTGCGGTCCCCAACATTGAGTCACAAGGTTAGTCAGCACCCACCTGACACAGGTGGGTTACGGCTTTTTATTCTTATCAAGATGCAAAGTAGATTTTTGTTCAAACTCTGAAATGCATGTCAGTAAACTGAAGGTTGCAAAATAAGGGGAAAACCACTGCTTTCCTTCCTGACCCAAAGTGATGTGATTTTCACCTCAGTAAGTGAAGCATGTACGTTATAGATTACATTACACGAGCAAACAGCAATTTCAGGTTAATTGTTGTCAGTGTCTGTGCTTAAACAAATCCTCACCACCTTCAGCATTCTTGTTTAAACAGAATTGAATTGAACATTTCTTATTCTCTTGTTTGTTTCCTGAGTGCACAAAAGTGGGACCCATGGAGTCTGACCAAAAGTCGGCTCTGCCCTGGGCTGGGGGCCACGCATACCTCAGCTATCTCTGGAGCAAACACTGTAGTAACACAAGGGTTGGGCCACACATTGTAGCTCCTTTAATTTGAAGGACATCTGGTTAATACAGTGTTGAGCTCACTGGCCTGTCAGAAACCCAGTCACTGCCCTATGATTTATATCGGGACTACGCATGCTTTTTTCAAAACATAACATCCAAACCAAACCCAGGGCTTTGTGCCAATTCAGACTCACAGACTAGAAACTGCCTTGTAGCGTTTCTGTGGCTGTAGAACTTGAGATAAGTGGACTGCTGGTGGATTGAAACCATTGACCTTTTGGTTGGTAATCTGAAGCTTACCCCGCTGCACGCTTGAACACTGCTAAAAAACAAGCATCGGTACTTGGTTAATCTGAAAGTGAACCCAATCAGATTGCCATTGCCAGACCTTTCTTCTGAGGTGCCTCTGAGTGGACTCCAGTCTCCAACTTTTCAGTGAGTACTGGAGCGTGTTTACCACTCGCACTACCCGGGGATGGCCTCCTTTTCCTCCCATGGAGCAGCTGGGGTGCCAGGAAGGGGGGAGACCAGTAACCTTGTGGCTGCCTTCCCAATGCCTAACCCATTATGCCAGCAGGATTTCTTATTGATGTGTACTGTTGTTGTTGTTAAATGCCATCGAGTCAGTTCTGACTCATACCAACTTTGTAAAAGGTTTTTTGTTTTAATATTTTATTGTGAATCATGTGCTCGTTTACATGGGAGAACATTAGTTTTACATTTATCCTATCATATACCGTTTCATTGCTATGGTTACAATCCCCTCCATGCATCATCA